GTTTAGATAACGTACGAATAGCCATGCAAAAGTAATTTGACACCAGGTGACTACATCCCTGCAACTACGCTTAATCTATATGAACCCTTCCATAAGTTCTTTTTTGAATTGCTCGTATTTTGTTCAACTAGAGGTTTTGTCCTGCTACAACTGAGTAACAGTTGCTGAACTCTTTAGACAAATTATGCAAATTCACAAAATGCCTTGAGATTATTGAATGAATAATACAATGGGAAAGAAAAGCCTCCTTAGCAGTTGTGGTATGTATGGAGAATAACCAACTTTGGAGCATAACTTCACTTTGGAGCCTCTTCAACTTGGGACAAAGATGAACTTGATGGATTTTGAACACTACCAGCTCATTCTAAAGAGGGTTATTTTCATTTGTAAAGGGGTTTCCATGAAGGCTTCTCCGCAAGGAGTTTCACCCAGCATGTGGTTAATCACCACTCACTATAAATGAAGGCAAAGGGCTTCTGTGCTTCACAAGAGTGAAACATCTTCATGAGGATGAACACAAAGAGAGCATAAAGATTGAGCTGGAAGAATCCTATGGAGTGCTTACATGTATCCTGAATAACCCAACAAGTATGTTGTTCAGTAAGAAATTGTCACAGAAATGGTCAAGTAGGAACGGACAGTTGCAGAAACTGAATGCTGAGTTAGCAAAAAACGTGTCTGCTCTGATTCTACTGCACATATTCACTCAATACGATGTGACTACCTGATTAAAACAAGCCCTCACTGCACCATTTTCCCATTGGAAGCACTCTGCTTCCAGTCATCCAATCATATATGATTTAAATATGGTATAAATGATTCAAATTAATTTCTAATTAAATTCTAATCTGGAAAAATAATCTACATTGACAGAGGAAGAGGTGACAGCTATCAGACAACAGACTTCTGTGAATCATTCACTCATCTCAGTGGTCATGGATGTCTCACATGATAAAGAATTCGCTCTAACAAAGACGGCAAAACAAACACGATGGCATTTTAATTCAGGGCATATTTCTTCTGCATGCCTGTCAGTCATGTTACTGATAATGTGAGTTCTGTGTGGGGCTAGTCTCTGTCATGATGGCCATGACAGCATAGTTCTTGGGGGGAAAAGTCTATAGAAATTAATGAGAAAAGAGGGATTCAGAATTAGAAAGAATAGTTATTAAAAATAATAATCCATTTGCTCTGATAAGGTAGCAAGTGGAAACAAGAACACCCAACATCTTTGCATCTAGGCATCAAGAGAATGGACACTTTGTATGCAGGTGTGATCTGTCTAGAGTGGGTGGATGAGAAGCCCTGGTGAAACTCGGGCTATGCTTTTGCGAGCCTCAGTGTGGTGACGAAAGTGAAGCAGTAACTCACTGCTGGTGTAGAGTAGCAAACCCCCTACTTTCCCTTCCAGATACGAGAGAAATCCTGACTTCTTGAGTCATGGTACATAAATGATCTCTTTACGCTGGAGATCCCTCCCCAAGAAGGGTATTGTTATCTGTGGTGGAATGCTGCTTAAGGATGACAAGCTTCTACTGGGTCCCCACACTTTCTTGTATTCACCAATAATGGAGGAGTTTCTCATGTAGGTGGAACACAATTACAACAGGTGGGTACAAACAAGTAAGGGAAGGAAAAGACGTACTGAAAACATGACAAAACTGATCAGCATAAAAAAGTGATAGCAGCATCCAACCTGACAGCTTAAGGAGAATAGAGAATAGTCCAATAACAGACTGTAGTATGGTAATGATTATCTCTGAACGAATATATGCTTGTTGGTCATCTGAGGTGGGAATTGCTAGGGAGTGGCGGGAGGAAAAAACCCCTCTGACTGCATTGTTTACTACACTGCTGACTGTGGAGCTTTATTTCTCTGATGTTTTGCATGGTAACTATGTTTGCACATGGTAACGAGCTGCCTGCAGGATTCTCTGATGTTTATGACCATCACTGCTGGGATCTTGATTGACTCGGGGAGCAAAGTATGATGTTGTCTGAGCATGTTAACTGATCGGTGTTGCTGCCTACAAGCCAAGAAAGGTTGGGGTCCCCTGCCTAATGCCAACTCAAATTTGGACGCATGTCATTTATAGTCATGCAAAGCAGTGTCACATTTTTTTCTTCTTCTTTGATCATACTCAGAAACTATAAATCCCCGGGGTGAAATCTTAACTCCACAGAAATCAAGAGCAAAATGCCCTTCAGTGGTGCTAGGTTTATGGTGAAAGTTGTCTTTTTCTTTCTTAAACAATTCTTGTAATTGCTAGAGAACTGTGTTTATTTCCCTCCCCTCACAGCAAATAAAATGTCAGTCTTCACAGTCAGGTCTACTGAAAACAGTCAAGTCTGTCTGTTCAGGGTGTTGAGGGCTGATAATAAAATTACAGCCCAATAATTTTATATTTTTCTCCTATTATCTGCACTGCACAGCATGTTTTATGTGTTCTGCTCCACTGGGACCATCGTAAACCTGTAGCCAGCTATTTCATTTGAATATACTCAGTGGGAGGTGACGGGTGCACTATTACAAAAAAATCTTGAAACTTTATCATAATATATTTAGCAAGGTGATAATGTAAAACCCACTGGGAAATAGAGAGAGGTGAAGGAGAAATCCCACACCTGGGAACTTACTTAATGTTTAAAGACAGGAAATGCTTTAGAAGGGAAAATATCTCTGATCTGTCTAATCCACTGCCCCAAACTAGTTACCACGAAACCCCCGGTGAAGGAGGTAGATAGAAGAGATGACCCCCAGCTCACCTCGGCTTCCGTTGTGCTCTCCAGCTTGTGTGCCAACTGGAGCAGCGAGGCACCTTAAATAGACACAGCTACGGTTTATTTTCATGGTGTGACCCAGGGACAAGGGAGATTTTGAGTGAGATTGGTCTGAGAGACATACTGGAAAACTCTCTAGCACAAGAGGGAGATCATGAGGTGAGGGACACTTCTACAAGTGCAGCCAAAAACATGAGAAACAAGTTCTGCATTGATTTCCAGCCTGGACCAGTCCCATTCACTTCAATACTTCAGTTTCCTTTCAGATTATTTAGATCTTTGATCCTTTACTGAATTTTTCTGTAGAAGGGAAAGTGTAACCTAATAGCGTAGACTAGATTACATGGTGCTGCATTTGGCTCAATACATGTAAGCCACTGTGTGAAAGTCAGCTCCGTTATGGACGTCGGTGTTCAATATTCAGTAACTGGTCTTGGCTATCACAGCTGTATTTTTTTGCCAGGCAACCTACTCTTTGTTTGATTTGTTTGCTTGTTTGTTTGTTTTCCCTTGAAGCTACCTTTAAAAATAATAGACAGTAACAGCATATTGTCTCCCAGTGAATGGTGCTTTGGAAGCTGGATGGCTGATGCCGGACTCCACTCCTTCTCCCAGCATCATCACGAAAACTCTGGTCCTTTTGATTAAGCCCTGTGGGTCGGCCCCCATTTTTGCACCCCTCCTACCCCGGTGAAGGTCCCCCCGGTCTCTTTGCAGATCGCCACAGGTGTGCCAGCACTGGCGCTGCCCTCGCTCAGCCCAGCCGCCCCCTCGCTTCCCCCGAGGTCTGGGGGGGCCGCAAGCCACCCCCTTTCCCAGGTGCCTCCCCGCCTGCGCC